ACCCCAACCCCAACCCCAACCCCAACCCCAACCCCAACCCCAACCCCAACCCCAACCCCAACCCCAACCCCAACCCCAACCCCAACCCCAACCCCAACCCCAACCCCAACCCCAACCCCAACCCCAACCCCAACCCCAACCCCAACCCCAACCCCAACCCCAACCCCAACCCCAACCCCAACCCCAACCCCAACCCCAACCCCAACCCCAACCCCAACCCCAACCCCAACCCCAACCCCAACCCCAACCCCAACCCCAACCCCAACCCCAACCCCAACCCCAACCCCAACCCCAACCCCAACCCCAACCCCAACCCCAACCCCAACCCCAACCCCAACCCCAACCCTTTTATTTAAACTATTTATTTTTTTATTTTTCTTATCAATATTACACTCTTTACCAATAAAAGCTGTGGTAAAAATAAATATTTTATTTAGAGAAAACTCATTATCAATGTAATAAAAAAGCATTTGAAAGATATACTAATAACTTAATAATTAGCCATCAAAAATAAATTTATACAATTTTAAGAGATTTTTATTCAATTTTAAGAAATTTTTAAATATCATTGTGAAGAAGAAGAAGAATAAATGAAATAAAATTTATTATTAAAATAAACAATATTGTGATGAAGAATTAATAAATAAAGTTTAGAATTAAATTAAACTACAATGTGATAATGAGTAAATAAAGCAAAAGTTTATAATTAAATTAAAATTGTATAAATAATATTTATAGTTATAAAAATAGAAAATAAGAAATTTAATAATTAAAAAAAATTAGATTTAATCAAAGATCAGAACGATTTGATTGATTAATTTAATAAATAATCAAATAAGTTGCAATTAAAATATAGAGAGATTTTAAGAATGTTTACAATGTGATTTTTTTTTGATTAATTTATATGTTTTTTGGTGTAATGTGTGTGAAAATAGTTAAAGGAATTAGAAATACAATCTTAATTTAAATAAATAATTTTATTCAATTTGTAAATTGAACTAGTATTTAAGAATAAGAGACCTGAGATAGTTTAGATATATTACCTATTTAAATTAATTAATTTAGTTAGTTATAGTAGTTTTAATTTATTATTTTATGTATAATTTATTTTGATATAGTCATAATTAATATGTTTAGATTACATAAGATTTCAATTTTTTATCTTACTTTAATAACAATGAAAAAGTTTATTAATTTGAATGTAAATATTATTTTAAATTAATTAAAATTATCTTTCTTTTTTTTCTTTTTACAGTATTTTCCTCACAAATTCAATTGGCTTACTTTTGATCTTCTTTATAGTTATTATTATTATTAAATTTCGTAATTTTTTTAAGATGAAGTTTAGGAATTTTTATCAATTTATTAATTTAATTACAAAGAGTTACTATGAGCAATGTTATTGATATTTTCATCCACAAAATTATCGCATAAAGAAAATGAGTTATTATTACTGTTAGCTCTTGGTTATTAAGAACTCTTTTGCATATTTTAGAATAACTTCTTATTTCTTTTTTGCAGTAGTCTTTATTTTTATCTGATAGAATTTTTGTCATAATTATTTTAAGATTGGGCAATATTGAAATCGTCATCATTATTTTAGATTTCATTTACAGCTGAGTGTGGGACTAACTTTGATGGAATTCTTTCTTGGTATGTTTAGATATTTTGTTAATCATGGAATGTTGTAGGTAGATCAGTGCTTTATTCTTATTAAGGGTCGTTGTAAAAACCTTTAATATTTCTCAGAATTTCATCATTTGTAGAATTAGTTTTAGATTTAGCAATAGAATTTCTATCAAAACCAACAGTATTAGCTGAGGTTGTGCTATATTATTTTTACCTACTTTCTTAGTAAAATTAAGATATTGAGGACTAA